CTCACAATTATATAAAATGTATATAAGAGAGAGAGAGAGAGGGTGGGGGGGACCCATTTGCATCACTAGTGTTAGTCGAATTATCTTGTGCCATATTCATAACGTATTATATTTGGATTTTTGTTAATCTCGACACATGTTTTGTTAATTGTATCAAACATTTGGGTACTAACTCAAGTCAGTTTATGACTCGTGCTATATTTTTTAAAACTAAAAACTTGTTATAGTTCAATCACATCCACCACTCTTAGACTCTGACAAATTGAAAAATCCATTAAAAACCAAGCTACAAAGCCTATCATAACAATAACAGAAAAATGAAACAATAACACATTTTCCTCTTAAAATACCAAATAAATAATTTTGTCACGTGAAACCTAGGTTGTTTGGATTTAAAACTAACATAATCAAAACTTTCCAACAGCTCATATGAATCTCGTGCTATTGCTATGTTCAGTCAGACGACAATTTTTAAGTAATTGGGGCAGTTTGACTTACTCGGACACTGTATTATAACTTCATATTATTTGTCTATTACGGGTAATTCATGACTACTTGATTGCTAAGAGCATTTATTCTCCTACCTACCCTTTAGCTAACTAGTTGGTCGATTCGTTAATAAACTACTATTGTTCTTTTTATCTCACTCATTTATCTTACTCATTTCTTTGAGGATTCTTGTTATATGCATTATCAATCTTAAGAATAAGAAAAAAAAAAGTTAATTATAAATTACACCCTAAAAAATCGTTTGAATCTTAATTTGTACTCCCGAAAATAAAAAATCTCAATTTACACTTTCAAAGATAGAAATTTATATCAATGTGTACTCCTAAAGATCAAAAATTTTAATTTGTACCCTAAATGATTGAAATTTATATTAATGTGCACCCCTAAAGATCAAAAATTTTAATTTGCACCCTCAAATATATAAATTTGTATCAATGTGCACTTAAAACTAACCGTCGTCAATTTACTGCCTAAAATTAAATTGATAAATTATACCTGAATCTCCTCATGCTTGTCACTTAATCATTTGGACCACTTCATATTTATAATAATACTCCTACATCTCATGACATTTGTGTATGTGTAACACGTAACCTTTTTAGTTAATATCTGTTAATATAACCGTTAAAAAATATGATTTTATCTTATTAAAAAATTATAATTTTATATTACTTTTTTATTTTGTGAGTCCGATATACTCTAAAGTTCAAAATCAAGCTTATAATTTGAATGTCCAATAGAATGTAGGTATTTATATAATATTTTTTTATATCCAATGTAATTTATCACTTAAACATAATTATTTGAATGCCCAATTGGGGGACATTTTAGATTGAGAGTTTTTTTATTAGGATTTTATAATCGTTAAAAAATATAATTTTATCCTAATAAAAAAATTATAACTTCATATTACCCTTTATTTTGTGAAAGAGTTCAAATAATTAAGTGACAAACATAAAAAAATTTAGGTATAATTTATCAATTTAATTTCAGGCAATAAATTGTGAGTAGTTAATTTTATGTGCACATTAATATAAATTATTATCTTTGAGGGTATAAATTAAAATTTTTAATCTTTAATAACAAAAATTGAGATTTAAACGATTTTTTACAGTGTAATTTATAATTAATCAAAAAAAATGATATAAAAAGAGGAAAAAGTTGAATGAAACTCTTGAACAAAAGCGTGACTAGGTACGTTTTAGGCAGCCGACCCAAAAAAAAAAGGCATGTTTCCCAAGGGATTTATGTACATGTAGTGGACGGAAAAATAAAGAAAGAAAACGATAGATGTTGACCTTTTGGACTATTCTATTCCAATTTTCATAATATTTTGTTGCATTATATTCGAGGTTTTTTTCTTTATCATACGTTTGAGTATTTTTTGTCGGCTTCTGCCAGGCCGTATCTGTTGACTTGTAAGGCACAGTGATAAGTGCGATCAATTATTGTGATAATGCCTTATTTTAATAATCAAGTTTCAACTTATCAGTAATGCAGAGAAGAAGCTATACGAATCCTCAACAATATAATAGTCTTTTTTCACACAAATATGACTTCTTCTTTTTTTTCATATTTTGCACCCCCGGAAAATTTTAAAAATTTTATTTTATACACTTAATATATCAAAAATATTATAATATTACCTTTTTATTAAATTATGTTATTTTTTTTATCAAAAATTAACGCATTAACACTAACGAACAAAACTAACGTAAAATTAACAGAAGAATTATATTGTAACATTTTTTATATATTGAGAAAATAATATGAAAAATTTAATCTTTAATGGTATAAAGTGACAATCTTAAAATCTTTTAAGGTATAAAGTGTAATTTACTCAATTTTTTAATATTGCATATTAATTTTTCATCAAATAAGAATGTTCCACGTGTAAATTTTTTATATTTTATTATTTTTAAATAAATTTTTACAGATCATTTAATTCAACATTAATGGCTGAGACGAATAGAAGTACGATAACAAAGTTGATAAAAGAACATGACATAAAGTTTCTATATTTTATTATTTTTTTAAAATCAATTGAATAGAAGTATGATAACAAATTTAATAAAAAAAACGTGTCACGTGTAAAATTTTTAAATTTTATTATTTTTGCAATCAATTATTACATATCATTTAATTCAACATTAATGGTTGAGATGAATAGATTTACCATGCCCAAGTCAGGTTACCTTTGTCTTATCCCAATATAATATAATGTTTAAAGAAGAACCTTTTTTATATATTTTTTTAGTTTTACCTTTTGGACTAACAGAAAATGTTTTAATAGTTCTCATTGATTTTGTTTTATTGTACAGGTTTTAGTTTTCATACTTCATCAATTTCGGATTTTTCATTCTTTTTTTTTTTTTTCACTATTTTGAACTCTTATAGAGGAGACGCGGTGAGGTTCGAACCTGTCACTTAATGGTCTAACAACATACTACAATGGCCGTCAGACTAATCGCTGGTCCTAATCGTTATTTTGGGTTAAGTGGGCAGCAAAGTATTTATAATTGGTTGATTAAGTGGACTGTCTTGTATTGCGAATCATCAGCCGTTGGGCTTTAATGACAGATGACTATTCCGACTCTACAAATAGGCCTATGCCGTCTAGTGGAAGATAAGAATCTTTACCTTCCTCCCTATAAATTTTTATATAAATTTCTCAAAAATAAAAAATAAAAAATTATATGAATACTGCACACCATGTGAATTTGCCCACAAGTTTGATGAAATGACTATGTTGATTTTAGCGATGACCATAGACTTTCATATATGAAATGATAAAAAAAAGTTGTATTTATTGAAAACTTGGGTTCCTCAAAAAAAATTTGTTGCTGTCTATAGAGGATCTATAATAACCTCAAGAGATAGTTCAAGTAGTAACAAAGACGAACTGTAAATTTAAGCGTTCTGAATTCGAATCTTAACAATCTCTTTGGACCAAGTTATGAGGAATTTATCTCTCATGAATTCTCTAGTCTTAACTTATATAACTTGCCTTTGACTAGATTGGGGAGAGAATTTGCGCAACTTGACCCGAACATTCTTTAACTGTTGAACAAAAGAAAAAAATGTTTTTGGGGTATAAATATATTTTTTTAGATTTATTTGAAAGGAAATGTACGAATAAGTATTTTATTCTATTAAGTTCAATTTTAATAAAATATTTGGTGATTAGATAAAAAATTAAAATGATATTTGAATTTTTTTACTTACTTATGCTTTCTTAAATTATAGATAATTTTTATTCTCTCAATCTTCTCTCTCTCCCCCCTATTTTCTCTTCATCTCTCGCCCTTTCTCTCCATTACTCTCTCTTAATTTCTCTCCATTACTCTCTCTTAATTTCTTTCCATGTGTTCTCCGTTACTCTCTCAATCTCTCTCATATTTTCTCTATCTATCTCCATAATTTATTTTCTTTTCAAATATGTAGAAATTTGATTTGATTTTTCATCTCTCTCCCCTATTTTTTTTCTCTCTCTCTCACCATCTCTCATTATTTTCTCTCACCTTACTCTCTCTCTTTATATCAACATTATAATAATACAATTAAACTAATAAGTTACACAAAACAGTTACAGCATAATATACTAAACAGTTACTCATGTGTTCTAAACAACCCAATAGTTACACAAAAAGTATGATATCAATCTAATTTGTTGTTCAGTTGTTTACATAAATCAAAGAGTTGCACCATTTAGTATCATAATATGGTTACATCAATTATATACACTAAATTTGATATAATGGTAAAATTTTTTGTGTAATAATAAACTGAATTTGATATATATAATTGATGTAACTATACTGTAATACTAAATAGTGCAACTCTATTGTTTAGGTAAATAACTGAATGACAAATTTGGTTGGTGTTATAATTTTGTGTAATTATTTAGTTTAACTATTTACTTTATTATAATACTTGAGTAACTGTTTGGTGTATTATAGGGTAATTGTAACTAATTGATGTAACTAGCATAATTGTGTTGCTGTAATGTTGCTATAAGGAGAGAGAGAGAGAGAATAAGAAGATAAATAGTAACAATGAGAGAAAATAGAGGGAGAGAGAGTGAGAGAAAAAAAATAGGGGGATAGATGAAAAAATTAAATCAAATATTTACATATTTGAAGGAAAAATAAATTATCAATGTGAGAAAGAGAGAGATAGATAGAGAGAAAATAGGGAAGAAGAGTAAGAGAGTTAGAGAGAGAGAGAGGGAGAGAATAATAGAGTAATAAATGACCTATTAATCTTTTTGAAAAAAAAATGCACTTAGGTCAAATAAATTTTATTAATGTAGTTTAGCTCAATTAAATTTATATTTTTGTATCGACTTCTAAATTTCCGAATAAAAAGAATGCAAAAAAAAGCCCAGTGTATATCGCTCTACCCCAACCAAGACATTCGTTCACATTCCTTGCTGGACCCCATGATTTTCCATCTAGTTTACAAAGCCCAAGTTTGCTCTAATGCAATTGTTAGGCCTCATGGCATGTCGTCAACGGTATTGTGTAAGTCACAACGGCAACCACCTGTGCAGGGATGCATCAAGATGTATTGCGATGGAGCAAGGGAAGCTCAACCAATTCTTGCAACACGTTCCTTCACGTGCGGGTTATATTTTGGGTTTAACACTTACAAATCTTTTGATCATTGGGGTGACGGCAAGATTTGAACGCACGTTCTCCTATTCTGATATCATGTTAAACAATGACTTACTTTAAAAACTTAACCTGTTAGAGAATATATAACTTTATATATATATATATATATATTCATATATATATATATATATATTTCAATATACATGAGTGTTTTACCCTTGGCAGATCATTGGATTGTCAATTGCTCTTACTTTGAGTTGTCATTGTCATTTGATCATGGATACTCTTATTTTCAATACAAGTGCCGGATCTGATGGGGAAACATGTAAGGTGGTGTTCTTTGGTTTGGTTTCCGTGTTAAGTAATGTAGTAGTAGTAGATGGGAATTTAATATTTTCTTTGTTGAATTTTTTTTTTTTTTGTTGTTACATCAATGGTGTTGAACAATCTCTTAAATGTTTAGGTTTAATGCATTGGATTTATTCTATTTATCTATCCAGTTTTTCAATTTATTTCTAGGTGATACAATAAAATTTAATTATTTTTTAAAAACCAACTTTTGCCTAGGAAAACAGATTTCGTCGGCAAAAATATTCACCCACAGGGCCACCACTCACGAATTCAGCCACAAAAAAAAAAAAAAAAATTATAAGTGAAGATTTTTAGTAAAAAAAATTATAAGTAAAAAAAAATTTTAGCTTTTTTTTTTTTGTTGGCTCAACGGTCAAAGGTGTTCGAGTTAATTTGAGAGTACCTCGACGAGTCATCTTTCTAATCCAGTCAAGGATAAACTATTCACGCTGAGATTAAGATATTGATAAATCATTCATACTCTAACCTTAAAAAATTGTCAATATTCGAATTTAATATCCCTTGTTTACAACTAAAATTCTAAAAGCTTGTTTGGTTTGTATCTCAAAAAACAGTATACAAAAATATTTTTGAGAAAAATTTTAAGAAAATATTTTTGAAAATTTTTAGATTACAAAATCCGTTTGATTATATATTTTTTAAAATAATTTTAAAAAATAAAAAATTATAAAATCTATTTGAATAATAATATACAAAACTCACAATAGTCATCTCCATCTTTCTTCTCTCTCTCTCTCTCTGACTTCACAAAACCCACACGCACACAAAAACAAATACACACAGATCCTGACCCATATTCAGATCTGCACATATTTGTGTCCAGTCACCATTTTGTCAGATTTTGTCAGACTTAAAGTTTAATAAATAAATTACAAAGTGTGCACAGTTGGCCCTCTTAATTGAATTTACTATCTGTTAAAAAAAAAAATTGAATTTACTAGCCGCACTTGATTCCAAAAGATAATTTCAGCACCGTATTTAAAATTTTTTTTATTATAATAAATTATTTTATAACTAAAATATTTATTATTTTTGTAAATAATTTATTACTTTTTTGACTATTTTGATCACTATTATGAGTATTTTATCACATTTATGGTAACTATTTTTATCAGTCTTCTTTAACACACAAAAAATTACTACATTTATAAATATTTTTATCACTATTATGACAACTATTTATTTTTTAATTTTTTAGGGTATCACAACAATAGTAAAGGAACCATAAATATATTATCTTTCTTCTTTTTTCCTTTGTGTCCCTGTATCTTGAATGTGGATATAATCTTTATAATTTTTTTAACATATATATTTTTGGTCTTTAGTTTGGTTTTATTGGGATGAAAACCAAATTAAAAAAAAAAGCACGCGAAACTATATTTTTGACTGTTCTAATTAACAATAGGTTATTTATAATATAAAATATGACAGATTTTAATAAGTTCAATCGACGGTCTCAAATAGATTCATCCAACGATTACTAACATTTCTTTCAAAATCATTCACATTACACCATATTTTCAGACACAAATTATCTCACAGTATTCTATAAAACACGGCTATTCTTATGTATTCTTTGATAGGAAATTTCAAAATACACAAAACTTCAAAGTTGGGTCCAAAAATCCTATGGTAAGGACCCACTAGAAATGACTTTAAATTGAGCGAAACAAACTATGCAAATTGACATGCTTATTATTATTATTATTTTGTACATTCTAGTTTTATGGTGTGAAATTACTTTTATAGATACATTTGAAATGTATATTTGGTTTTTGCTGTTTTTATCATGGATAGATAAATTTGGCGAAGGCAATGAAGAAGATAGTAGAGTCATTATACTTGTGGAAGTTTATTATGAGTATGCATATTCATTAACTAAGCACGAAAACATAGTCATTATACTTATGGAATTACAAACTTAATGTGGTCATCAAAGCCACTTATTAATTCCAACAGAAGACCCTTGTTCAAACTAAAACCAACAAAACCCATGCTCTAACTAGTGATTGGGTACCTTTATGTACCCCACATGTGTTGCATTATTGACCTTTGTAATGGTTCGAAGATCAAAAGCAATCCAGCACTTCTTAGTGTCTTGGTGATAGAAATACCCCACACATTTGCACTCTTTAGTGCATTTATTCCCACAGTCTCTCTCACTCATGGGTCCATCGGCTTCGCTGTACTTGCTCATGTAATGATCAACCCCCTCGAGCCTGTAATATTGAAAATTCTTCGGACTACAAGATGAAACAAGCAACGGCTTACAACTCTGGTTCCAACCCAACAACCCATTGGGCAGTGGGCACGCAACGCACTGGTTGTCCTCACAGAGACCAAAGTTAAAACACCTCACCGGCAACTGGCACTCACCTTCGTTGGAGTCTCTGGAGAAGAGAGTATAAGTCACCTCCCATGCACCCGAATCCACCTTGTCATAGTATGTGTAGAGCCTCAGATTTCCGTCGATTCCCAGCCGGAGAAACGTCAACGTGGCGTTGTATTTTGGCCTTACCAAAATGCGATTCCCAGAAGTCGATGAGTTTGCCACTTGGTACTCTAACAACAAGTTATAGGCATAGCCCTCGTCGGAATCTGGGCTGCTCTCAATTCTCACATACTCCAACGAGCCCTTACTAACAGTAATCCAATCAGAAGATGCAAAGTACAGTATTTTCTTATTCCCAGCAATGTTGTTGTACATGGCCAACCTTTTAGCCTCCAACTCCAAGCTGTACGGTCCATCTTGGTTGGTTTCAGCGGTCTTCCGGCTAACAAGCTTGGTGGCAGCTCCGACCTTGAGAGATTGACCAACCAAGAGGGTGTCCGTCGGGTGATCAAAGCTCTGCCATATAAACTTCCCCTTCGAGTCATGAAGCACCATATTACCATTTGGAAGCAGCTTTAACCCCACAACACCTTTGTTCGCAGTGCCGGTTTGCCACGCAATGCTGCCATCGGCGTCGGCCAGAACGAGGTTTCCGTCTGTTCCAAACGTGAGGGTCGCGTTCTCGCCGACGGATTTACCCCGGTTGGCTTCCCAAACCCAACGCATGAGCGACTCGGAACGCACTGTGCCCATGCGTAAAGCGAGGGTGAAGGCACCATGGCTGGTGTTGTAGAAGCAGAGCTGGAATGGAGAGTTGAAGACATCTAGAACACGATAGTCTGCCCTGTATTCGACAATGTACGGCCCGAATTCTCCTTCATTGACGTACTTGAAAGTGTGTGCGGGAGGAACAGAAGCTTCTGAAATGGAAGAAAACGTTTGGATAAAGAGAAATAGAAATGAAAGAGATAGTGAAAGAGAAGAAGACATCATTTCCACTTGTCTGTGGTGCGACATTGGTCGAGCACTTGGTGTGCATATTTATAGAAAGTGGAAGGGTCAATATATCTCGGTTAAATTATCAAATTTTATAAAGTAGCAGTGGTATGTATACATAGACTGAAGAGATATCTGGTCATAAACGGTGTGCCTTAAGTGGTGCTTTTTTTTTTCCGACCGTCACACATGTATCTTAGACTAATTATTTCCGTAATTCGATAAAAAATAGATCATTTACGTCTAAATTTGAGTATTCACGAGGGTCTGATTTTAAGGGGTTATAAAAATTTGAATTCAGATCGTTTCATTCTTATTACTACTTGAATTATCCATTTAGATTAAATGTAAATTATCTTAATTTATTATCATAATGATATATTAAACTAGAACAATACAATATGAATTTAAAAATTAAACTTGATAATCTCAATCATTAATTTTACTGTGAATTCCAGTATTTATTAAGACTCATTACTTATTTAATGGTTGAAATTATTAAGTATACTTTTTAAATCTATATAACATTACTCATTAAACTATAGAGTCTGAATGTATAAGTCTATGAGTTACGGTCACCACAACACTATTGAATCATGTCACTGATACATCATTAAATTTACAAATTATATCAATTTTTTTAAGTAACAATAAAATTAATAGTTGGCTTTTATCGTCTTTGCATCGATCAAAATTACTAGTCATTTTAAGGGAAACACGACTCCATTGTCATTCACTTTTGAGGGGCCATATGAAAAAGCAAAAATAAAAAGGTAAGAGATAAAAAAGTTTTATATTAAAAAGTGAAAAAAAATGAACCTAAAGGATTACGCTCCCAAAGTTTTGGTGGATTACAATCGTAAATGTTATGATATAAAAAATTGTTTATATCGAAATCAAACCTGTCATTTAAGGACGAATACGTGTGTGAAATGCATGTATTCGAAATTTACTTGTAAATACAATTTCATGTAATTCAAAAGACGAATTGTAGAGAGTATGAGTATGTATCTTGTCGTTTTTACGTCGTATTATTTTAAAATTGTATACAATTTTAGTTTTATAATAACCCAAAAAAATAATTTCGGTATCATACTGCAAAATTACTATTTTTAATTGTAAGTTTACACTTTTAAACAGAAAAATTAGATCTAATTAAGGGAAGTCTACGATTGATTATGAGTCCCTCAATCAATCATAACTTCTCTCTTATGAATTATAACTTAGACTTTAAAAATTCTATAATTGTGTTTTAGAATTGAACATACATTTATAAGTTATAACTTAAACTTTTAAAAAATATAATATTTGGTATGATAGGACCATTCATATCGTAAAAAGCAATGCTACTGGGACTTAATTTATTTACTTAATTTGTTGACCTAATTCACTATGACTTTTGGATTGACTGTAGGCTCCATCAAACATTAAAATTTGGTGTTAATCCAATAGTTCCAATGAAGTCACGTCATTAGGTTAACAAATTATGTCAAATTTTTAGGTCTAAATAACATTTTTCTACCGTAAAACCAGGACCGAGAGACAAAAACATGTACACTAAAACTAAGTTGGCTCTTCGTCCAAACATGGAGACACTTAGATGCCAGCGGATAGGATCTTTTGTTTTCATATAGAATCGTTTTTTAATATGAAGTTATATGATAAGATTTGTTGTGTTGTATGTTTTCATGTAGGGTCTTGTTTTGGATTTGAATGATTGATCGATCTAGTAATGGGTTCTTTTTGGATTTCGCATTACTAAAAGATTCCAATTCTTTCGAAAAAAGAAATAATTCTTTAAATGGATTAAATATCTTGAACACTAATGAAATCCTCTTACAATGTTACTAAAATACACACACACACACACACAAAATCGACTCTAAGACTATAGATATATGACACCGAGTGGTGAAACAAAATTCAGACTATTTTGAGTGTATTTTTCCTCAATTTTAGATCTTTCATCGTGCCAGACACATAATATTTTTCGTTCATTTTTTAAAGGTAGTTAGTGCGAAAAACAGCATTAACTAAATTTTTGAATTTTATAGATGAAATGGACAAAATTTAAATTTTAAAGATCAAAATATAATAAAGATCAAACTTAAAGACTATTGATACAATTTACCCTCACATTAATTAGTTGCCTGTCCGGTGGGCTCTAATCCTTACACCGAGAAAAGGAAAAAAATGTACATTGGTAAATTTCGGTCACATTTTTTTAGTTTATTATATCTTAAAGAACACATTTTCTATTTTTTGAATATTTACTAACACCAATTAGAATGTAATTTTATTAAATTTTTTAAAATATATTTTAGGAAAAATTTCATGTGCACCCCTTCTAAATAGTCATATTTTCAATATGATTCTCTCTATTTTTTAAGTTTTTTTAAGTATTAAAATTTGAGCCAATTAAAATTCGATTCGACCTAATTAATTTTTTAATGTATTTAAATACTATTCGAGGCTCAAATCAAATTTTAATCAACTAACATTAAATTTTAAGCAGTCCAAATTTTGATAAATAATTTTTTTAATCAACTTGAATCGAATTTTAATAAATAAAAAAATATAAATTTTAAGGGTTAATTGCAAATTACACCCTGAAAGATTGTTTGAATTTCAATTTGCACCTTCAAAGATCAAAAATCTCAATTTACACCCTCAAAAATAAAAAATTGTATCAATGTGCACCCCAAAAGATAAAAAATCTCAATTTGTACCCTCAAAGATAGAAATTTGTATCAATGTGCACTTAAAATTAAATTGATAAATTATACCTAGATCCCCTTATACTTGTCATTTAATCATTTGGACCCCTTCACATTTAAAATATTACTCTTATATCTCATGACATTTGTGTACGTGTAACACGTAATCCATTTTCGTTGATATCTGTTAATATAACCGTTAAAAAATATGATTTTATCCTAATAAAAAGTTATAATTTCATATTACCTTTTATTTTATGGGTCCAATATAATCTAAAGTTCAAAATCAAGCTTACAATTTGAATGTCTAATAGAATAAAAGGTTGCACATTGACTGATATATTGTATTGGATATAAAAAATAATATATAAATATCTATATTCTATTGGACATTCAAATGATAAGCTTGATTTTAAACTTTAGATTATATCGGACCCACAAAATAAAGGGTAATATGAAATTATAATTTTTTATTTAGATAAAATTATATTTTTTAACGGCTATATTAATCGATATCAACGAAAAGGAATTACGTGTTATACGTGCATAAACGTCATGAGATGTAGGAGTAATATTCTAAATGTGAAGGGGGCCAAATGATTAAGTGACAAGTATAAAGAGATCTAGGTATAATTTATAAAATTTAGTTTTAGGTGCACCTTGAAGTAAAATTCTATCTTTGAGGGTATAAATTGAGATTTTTTATCTTTGGGGTGTACTTTGATACAAATTTCTATTTTTGAGGTTCTAAATTGAGATTTTTAATCTTTGAGGATCTAAATTGAGATTCGAACTATCTTCGGGGTGCAACTTACAATTAATTCAAATTTTAATCAGAGCTAACAACTCAAGTAGAACTTAAATCGGCTCGAATTTTAATACGTAAAAAATAGACTTTGAATAAGCTTAAGTGTTAATATGGAAAAAAAATTTAATAAATTTGAATCGAATCTTAATCGACTAAAATTTTAATATGTAAAAAAATTAATCAGTTTGAATTTTAATATGTAGAAAAATAAATTTTAATTGGGTCGAATTTTATGTACAAAGATTGTTTGAGGTTTATATAGGATAATTTTGGTTTTTTAAATAATTTATTTTTTTTATAAATGTTGGTGTATTGGTAGGGGTATTAGTGAATATAAACTAGAAAAGGTATTAGTGATATTTTTGATAATAGAGTTTGAAGGTATTATAAACTAAAAAAGATTTGATTGAATTTTTATCATGAAACAAATAATATATTCAGAGAATGAAATGGACAAAAAATTAACCCCATGACTTGGTCTAGTGATAACTTAACCACCTGTTAAACCTCTTATGATGGATAGATCAGGAATTCGAATATTTAACAAAACGTAATTGTTTGGAGCCACCGTTCATAGATTTACTCCATTATATGAAGAGACGATTTTTCACAAGGTCTAGTATTAATTCAATATATGAGTTGGATAGTATTACAATAATTTATTGGAACAAGTGAAATATAAAAAAAAAAAATGAATAGAAAATATGAGGTCATGGTCGTTGGGATATATATTTTGTATGAGACGAACTTTATTTAAATTTGTTGAATGTAGACATTAGATGATCAACAAATAACCCTATTAGATGTCCTTGGCTGAGATTGGCCCCATTTGGTTCGACGACCAACTTGTTCAGCCAAAAACTCAAGATATTCACCATTTTCAGTTTGATAAAGATTAATGGGGGTTGTTTATTCTCATTACTTTGAAATGTTTAATTCCACCGCTATATAGTTTGTCTTTCATTAATATTTAATGGTATTTCATATTCTCAACGATCATTATCATCGCCACCACCATCATAACCCCACATTTACCCAAGTCTAGGTCCAGATTTGAGTTCGAGAATTGGATCTAGGTTAGGTTCGAGTCCAGGGGTCAAGTCTTAGTCTACGTCCGGGGGGGGGGGCAAGGGTTTGGGTCGAATTTGGTTTTCGGGTTATGTTTGGGGTGAAATTGAGACAAGCTGTAGGATTGTGTCTGGCTAGAGAGTTAGGTCCGAGTGTAGGTCCAAGGTCTAGGGTCGTGGTCGTGTTAGTGTCCGTGTCCGTGTCCATGTCTAAGGTCCGAGTTTAGGGTCTACGTTTAGGTCATAGGTATGAGGTAAAGTATGAGTTCTAGTTTGGGGTCGGACACAAGTTCAGGGTTAGGTATGTCTGGAGTTAGAGGTCAAATGAGTTCAATTTTAAAATTATCCAAATATTTGAGTGAATTTTCGATTTTATTACAACACTTAATCATGTCTGTTATGAAATATTTGAATCTTTGTATATTCCATTTCATTGTTATGTTCATTTCATGCTCACATTTATTCTATTCGGATGTAAAAATATTATCACGCACCAAATTTAATGTTAAAAATTTAATTTTTTTAAAATAAAAAACTTACGATTTTTTTTCAATCAATTAATAGGCTTTGTTTATGATTATTTGTTGCCTTTGTTATTACAACCAAAAAAATTATTTATTAAAAAAAGATGAATAATAATCATGTCGGTGCATCACACATGACTGACCGCTTGCATAAATATCAAGAGTATTGCTATATCGACAATTTTTTTTTTTTTTGTTTTTTACTGAAATATCAATTTAGTCATCCGAAATTGACTCAATGGATATGAATAGTCTTCCGCAGCCGTGGCCCACATTCCGGAAACGGCATGCAGAAAACTGGCGGGGGGCAGGCATTTGGTCCAATCGCTGTCCTGTTTATGTTCTTTGTTCAAAAGTGGTGGGACCCATTTTCTTTCGGACCCGCCAAGGGTGACCACAAAACTTGATCTTATCCTAAAAACTTTGATCTTTGGCTCCAGCTCATCTACAAAGCAATCCATGTCTGCTTGAGATCCCACTGGACCCCACAATTAGATAAGGCACATGGGCTTCTTTGTAATGGATCCGGATCTTCCCAACTTTGAAAAATTGAATAATGGTGTTAGATCTAATCTACTGACTTAAAGATACCATGATTTTTATCTGGCTGATTAAAATTAGTAATATTATTATGCTGACTAAAATTTATTATTAAATTTTTTATTTTAAGTGATGTGGTATAGTTTTTATTATTGAATAAGTGGATCCTATTAATATTCAATAATAAATATTTCGTTATATCACTTAAAATAAAAAAAATTTATAAAAAATTTAGTAAGCATTGCACTACCGTAAAATTGGTAAAAACATGAGAAACGTCACATTGAGAGAGTATAATGATGCATTTGTAATTAGGGTTACTAAATGAAGGGATAATTCCTCACATTATTCTTTTTTTTTTTTTTAATTCTTGTCTATTATTACTTTATATGTCTTTATCACATATATATAAGAAAAAATCAATTTTGATGATGCATTCTTATTGAGAATGAAGAAGACAAGAAGAACTTTTTCAATTGATCCAATCTATCATCATATAAATTAATAAATTCAATTGAATTTCTAAGCTTATTTGTGCAAAAGGCAAAATTTAAGTCATATGTGATTCGGCTCGAATAAACTCCACTTAGTTCAAACAAGTTCTTGTATATAAACTATTCTAATTTTATTGTCAAACTACACCTGTTCAACAGAAAAACGATTCTCCCGTGAATATTTTAATCTTGACGTGAAAAATTTATTTTTGATCAACTTAGAGAGAATATTAATCAAGATATGTATAAGTTGACCCAAATACATCTGATTGTTGAACCAAAAAAAAAATCCCAAATTATTCTTAATGGGGACAAATTGCAGATACACACACTCCAGCTCTCATTTATATGCTTCAGATAATCATAATTATTCAGCACAAAGGGTACTAAAGAGGGAATATGCCCTATGATTCGGTGCAACTTGTTTTGTTGATGATCACAACCAAAACCGATAAGACCCATATGACACGATTCAAAATGACACAACCCTGATATTACAAGGCAACTCCATTGACATTCAGCATGGTTGTGGTACTAAAAAAGTGGTAAAATTCAAAATGACACAACCCTGATATTACAAGGCAACTCAATTGACATTTAGCATTGTTGTAGTACTAAAAAAATGGTAAAAATATCAATAAACATAGTATAATACCTACAAATGTAATAATTTTTTTTTTGTACTGAAAATAGGTGATAAAAATAGTTACATCAACGGTGATAAAAAAAAATACCTATAATAGCAATAAAAATACCTAAAATAATAAAATTTAGAGAGATACAAAAACATAAATCCAAAAAGATGCAAGGAGTTGATTATCAGTTGTCACCCCCAAACGCCACGAATTATTTATTAAAGTATAACCATTTTCAAATAAATTTACCAATTTATAGCAATTTTGAATTTATTTATTAATCTACGATATTTTTTAAAAAGTGGAATCAATAAATCTGTTTTCGAAAGGACTTTATCAAAAGTTTAAAATAAAATTTATTAACTCCGTTTTTAAAAATGATATAGATTAATAAATAAATTCAAAATTGTCGATAAATTTATTTAAAAACAGCTGTATATTGATATATATAATTCCAAATACCACCCACTGAACCTGCTGTCTACATTAATTTCAGCCTGATATATCTTACCAAAGAAATCTGATAAGAATTTAAAGCGCTAGCAGCATATGCTCTTTAGCTTAGTTAATGGATAACGTGGCGCACTACGTGCCACCAGAAGGAGGAGCAACAAGGTCTGTACTGAGAGACGACGACGATGAGTCTATGTATGGGTCATGGGTGTGAGACGCAGAAGACGTGAGACAAGCAGTGACTCTGAGACTTGGAAGAAGAGTCTGAACAAAATATTGAAAACCACCTCCTTATCCCCGTCACATAGTGCCACAATTCAAAGAATGCAGCAAATGAGCAAACAAGTCTCATATAATTTAATAACTACATGCTCACATAATTTGATAGTGCTAAATCTTTTTACCTCATTGCAGAACATAAAAAGACATGACCCAGATGGACTTCGTGTGTGTTTGCAGGTGGGCGCGTGTTTAGTGTGTGACAAATAATAAAGGTAGCAATATAAGTGATTCACCTCCGCCAAAAGACTAAAGCTACATCAACTGTATTGCTTAAAGAAGAAGATAACAATTAGAGAAGGTTTGGATGGGAGCCCTTTTACCAAGTATTTTTTAGATTGCCTATGGTCTTATTTCTTTTTATAGTAACTTTGTCTCCTATTTATACCCCTTGGTACCAGGGTTTCTATAATACTTCCTTATGTGGCAAATTTTGTAGTCCTCTCGTTATTTGTCATGTAGCGTGGCCTGCCATGCAACTTGATGTTTTATGCACTCACTATCCCTGAAACGGAATGTATGTGATATTTTCTCTATTAGAGAACATTTGTTCGTTAGAATTGTTAGGCATTGTACTCGTGTCTCCTGTACACGTGGCGTAATCAGGATTACATCAAATCCGCTTGGTACTAAGCTCAAACTCCTGAGCAAACGCTTATAACCTATCTCGTTGGGGGCTGACCTAGGCATTGGCCTAGGTTGGACGATCCTGGCCTTTCCATGGAGCGGGGCCGGAGTCCAACCCTGATATGAAAGATATCATCCTGAAAGGCCACTTAGTTTGCCTTTGATGAGCCCATTAGAGGATTTCGGCTTAAGAAGGGGTCAGACTTAAATTCATCTTCATAATTCAATAATTATCATGATGTAGAATTCACTTTTTTTTTTAATTTTTTTTTATTGAATGATGGCAACAAGTAATAGTATTGACACATTCCATATTTACTTCAATGTCGTGCATTGAATGGATGTGGTTAAAGAAGATTGCTAACACAAGTTGCCAGTCAATAATACTACTGAGTGTTGAAGCTATAAAAACCCCTTAACGATATTCTCCGATCTACCTACAAACTCCAATAGTCCAATGGGTTGTTTTCGCTTTCCATTTCTTGCCATTCTCTTCATTTTCTTCTTGTTTGCCATAACCATTCGAGCTCAAGTTCCAGCCAACCAAACCTTCAAATACGTAAATCAAGGCGAATTCGGTGACAGAATAATTGAATACGATGCGAGTTACCGTTGGATCGAAACCGACGTTTACAGTTTCTACAGATTTCCCTTCCGCCTTTGTTTCTACAACACCACTCCTGGTGCTTTTATTTTCGCCATCAGAGCTGGCATTCCCAGAGACGAGAGTCTCATGCGCTGGGTTTGGGATGCCAATCGCAACCACCCCGTAGGCGAGAACGCCACCCTTACCTTAGGCCAGGACGGTAATTTGATTCTGGCCGAAGCCGATGGCCGTGTAGTATGGCAGACTAACACTGCTAACAAGGGTGTCACTGGCATTAGCATGGAACCTAATGGTAACCTAGTTCTTCATGATAAGAATGGGAGGTTCATTTGGCAAAGCTTTGACTACCCTACTGATACACTGCTGGTATATTTACAAATTTTGATACCTATGAAATTATCTGTAATTTTTAGTCAAAACATATGATTTAAGTCATTGACATATAATTTGTAGATTTTATATTTGCATTATTCTTTACTTCTCAAGCGTTAGTTTCTAACTTTCTACATGTTTTTCTACTCTTGTGACTACCATTTTTGTGGTCGCTTAATTAGCCATATTAATAGGTTCAAAATTAAATCCATAAAACATTGCTTTCTATTTTTGGACACGATAACGGATGAAGACGGTATGTTTATTCATGCTTGAATTGCATTATTGTGTTGCGTAATTGGCCAACTTGATGGCTCAGCGTTTTGAAGCCCATTGATATATTAACTGGTCGATTTATATGTAGACTATTCATACTCCTTAAACTGTTCTAATAATCTGAAATAACTTTGTTCTAACAGGTCGGCCAATCTGTTCGAATGAACGGATATAATAAGCTAATTAGTCGCACTTCTGATGCCGACGGCTCTGATGGGAAGTATAGTATGGTGCTAAGGAACGATGGGTTAATCATGTATCTCAACAACTCTGGTCAGCTACTCATCTATGGTGGTTGGCCTGGTTCGAGCTTGGGAAGCTTTGTAACTTTCGATGCAGTACCTGAAAACGAAAATGCTACCGCATATGAGCTTGTGCTGGCCATCAACCAAGATGTACCACCACCAGGACACAGTCGGCGTCTTCTCCAATCACGGCCAATCCGGAATGGGGGACAATTAAACCTCAACAAGCTCAACTATAATGCAACCTACTCGTTTTTAAGACTTGGCTCGGATGGAAATCTAATGGCCTACACTTACTATGACAAAGTAAGCTACCTGAAATGGGAAGAGAGCTTTGCCTTTTTCTCTAGTTACTTTATCAGAGAATGTGCACTGCCATCAAAGTGTGGCTCATATGGATTGTGTCAGAGGAGGATGTGTGTGGCTTGTCCAAGCCGTAAAGGCCTTTTGGGGTGGAGCGAGAGTTGTGCGCCGCCACAGTTGCCTCCGTGTAAGAGCGGAGCTATGGTGGAATACTATAAGATTGTGGGTGTGCAACACTTCTTGGGCCCGTACATGGATGATGGGGAAGGTCCGATGAAGGTTGGAAAGTGCCGACAGAAATGTGATAAGGATTGTAAGTGTGTAGGGTTCTTTTACAAGGAAGATACTTCTAAGTGCTTGCTTGCACCATTGCTTGGGACCCTAATTAGCGATGTGAATACTTCTGTGGGATATATCAAGTATTCAAAGTAGGAGGACATTTGCTAGAGGTTTCGTGTTGACGCAGTTATGGTGGGCATTACGGGTTTGAAACGCTGGAGTTTAATATTTTAAAACAATCTCTGTATGTGTGTTGAATAAATCATAAATAAATTGTACTAGGATTGCCAAGAATTTTATATCGAGTTTCCTCCATAAAGACCAATGAAAATATAATGCGTTACAAAAATTATTTATTATTATTTTTTTTAATATTTTCTGTGAAGTTTGTTGAAAAAGTGCACACGCTAATTAATTAGAGGCATTTGTTTGGATATGCCTTGAAATTTCGAAGCAGTGAAACATGAATCCAGAAGAAGATTAATGGAGAATTTTTTTTGGAAAAATGAAGAATCCTGAAACAACCCAAAAGGTTAGTGATGTGTGGATGTTTGATAAATCAAATGAGACTCTGAAGAAACACCTTTGAGCGTGTAGTAGTAGTGGCCTATAAAATCTGAACATTTCTATCCACCATATAGAAAAAAACGTGTTAGGGCAAGAGAGAGGCTACCATAGGTTCTTAATTAAATTGAAGTCGACAGACTTAACTTGTTTATGTGCAAATCCTCGAGCTTGACTTGCTTTAGACTCGTTTAAAATCTAAGTTTTTAAGTTCGATTAAAAAAAAAAATTTTTAGGCTTAGTTAAAAAAATAATTTTTCAGGCTCGACTCGAACTCGTTCGACTATCAACCCTTGCGACGAGTTGACGTGGTGGTCAAGTCCACCCTTGAATGGCAACGACCGCAAAATGTTGAAAATTTTTCATTTTGGACTTACATTAATTTATAGTTAATTTTTATCTTGTGAAAAACGAGTTGAATTTATAGTTTAATAACAAGAGTCAACTATTGTTAAGTGATATATTTTAATGAGTTTATGTACATCATTTTAATTGATGTGATTGAGACGATAAAGTTTAGACTTTAATCTAATTGCAACTTGCGACTTGTAATGAGATAGTCCATTAGATTAATTATAATCAGACAAGTTAGGTCTCTGTCCACTTCACAACTTAATTTGACTTGTCCTATTGAGAGCCATTTATTATTTTGAAAAAAGAGTGGAAAAAACTTTGTCCTTTTGCGAAGGAAATCTGAAGATCGAATATCATGGCTCAAACAAGCATGATTTAAACCTTGTAATTAGGTGTTTCAAATTTCATATACGAATTATTAAAAGAGTAATGTTACATAAACTTAAAAGTAGACTTGATAATTACAACAATTGATTTCACTGTGGATCTCAGTATTTATTAGGATCCACTACTTATTCAATAGTTATAATTATCAAGTTTAATTTTTAAGTTCATGTAGCATTACTCTTATTAAAAATACTTACTTGTGATATCAGAATCTATCATATATAAATTTAAAACTCGATAAAAATTATATTAAAATTTTGCTACTATTTTTTTCCTTCAAGTACATCGTTTAATTTCGAGTCGTGACCATGATTTAAACTTATGTTGAAGTGATTTGAGTCTTTGGTCCAATAGTATTTTTAATTTTATGAAAGTTTTATCTTCTTAAGATTAAAAATTCAAGTTTAGACTTTAATCTAATTGTAACTTGCGACTTGTAATGAGACAGTCTATTAGATTAATTATAAACAGACAAGTTAGGTCTCTGTCCACTTCACAACTTAATTTGATTTGTCCCATTGAGAGCCATTTATTACTTTGAAAAAAGAGTGGAAAAAACTTTGTCCTTTTGCGAAGAAAATCTGAAAATCGAATATCATGGCTCACACAAGCATGATTTAAACCTTGTAATTAAGTGTTTTAAATTTCATATACGAATTATTAAAAGAGTAATGTTACATAAACTTAAAAAGTAGATTTGATAATTACAACCATTGATTTCACTGTGGATCCCAGTATTTATTAGGATTCACTACCTATTCAATAATTATAATTATCAAGTTTAATTTTTAAGTCTAATTTTTAAGTTCATGTAACATTACTCTTATTAAAAATACTTATTTGTGATATCAGAATCTATCATATATAAATTTAAAACTCGATAAAAATTATATTAAAATTTTGCTACTATTTTTTTTCTTCGAGTACATCGTTTAATTTCGAGTCGTGACCATGATTTAAACTTACGTTGAAGTGATTTGAGTCTTTGGTCCAATGATATTTTTTACTTTATGAAAATTTTATCTTCTTAAGATTAAAGGTTCAAGTCTCCTTCTCCCCCACCCCCCCCCCCCCCCCCCCCCAAAAAAAAAAAAAAAAAAAGATAAATATCTACCCGATAGTCGTTGCCGTGTGCCGTCAAAGATTTAACATACAATTTGGGAAGTTTGGCAAGATTGAACAATATGCAAGGGGCGAAGCCACTCTTTAATGTGTGGGGGCAATTGGCCCCGTTGACGGTTGGGAAGACTTTAATATGTAGTATAAGTAAAATACTATTATGTCCAAGTTGTTTAAAAATGTGCAATGACCCCCCTCCCCCCCCCCTTTTTCCTTTTTTTTTCTTTTCCTAAGGTAAGTTTAGTGGGTTTTTTTGGTCACTATTTCAAAGTTTATCATGAAAGGGGTTGGTAAAGTTCGAATCCTCAATCTAACGGTGTAACAACGAATTACTATAGTCATTTGGCCAACAATTGATCCTCAATTAGTGATTTATTTGCTCTTAATTCTGAAAGAAATATTCATTTCGTTATTGAGTGATAAAGATATAAAATGTCTCAACTTTGTATATATTGAATAAAAACACCTTTGTTATTTAATACGAATAGAGGTTTGGAAATTTTTTAATACCACTTGATTAAGTTTGTTATTTATGTTTTCGTCTCCTCTAACATAGGATTCTATCTCCGACCTTAACAATACGACCTGCAACTTTTCAAAAAGAATTGTAAACATTGGCGGTGGACCAAGAACACCTAGTATATAGAAGAATTGACTTTTATTGAATAATTCTATTCAATTAGTTTATTATTTTGAATAAAGTAAATGTTATGACAAATTTGTTTGCTTAGCCCATTTGGAAACAAAAAATATATGTTGGGTGGAATCTCTCTCATCTTAATGCAATGTTGATTGAATTGTAATAGGTTGTAGAGGGAGTTTGTAGAACTCCAAACCTAGTCTATAGTTGTTTACACTATGAATTTTTTTTTACTAATGTTATTGGAACATAATTTAGGGATATAATTTGGAGATTTAATCCATTATAATCATTGTAATCATTGGATTGATGATATTGAGACTCAGTGATACTTTAATATTAGAACACACTGACAATTTAATGGTTATAATTTTTAAGTCCCTAAATTATGTTCTAACAGCGTTGCTCATTTTTTTTATGATCTACATATTATTATATTTGAATTTAAATTATTTAATTTTAATAGCAAAAATAGAACTGAGATTTAAATGCAACGATTTAATATTGGGTGATCTATAGAGGTACATGTCAGTTAATACCTCATATTTATTCGTGTTAAAAAAAATATCATATTTATTGATCACATGATATTTAATTGTGAGCAGTTTGTTATAATATCCCGATTTGAGAAATTCTACGAATTAAAATTAATAGTTGCCACCAAAGTGCACATTCATTAAAATTTGTAAATTATTCTCATGATTTTGTTATGAGATGATATCTAAATTATAATATACAATTACTTTTACAAAAAAATGTTATTATGTGTTATAATTTAGAGATGTCGCAAGATATTACGTTAGAGGCGCAATAGTGTAAAGAGTTTATCTATAAAAAGGGGATAAACTCTTCGAAAGTAGAACATTCTCGTTTATTAGTTTTATGAAATAGAAGATCTATGACATGTTGCATTCTTTGCTCAAAGGGAGTTTATAGTGATTTATTTTGACTCTTTTAATAAAATATAACTTATTATGTTCAAAATATATTTTATTTAGTTATTTTCAAATTTTACCAATTGTTTGCATTCTCATTAGCTTAAACATTATATTTTCTTGTGAATAACAATAATGTCAACATTGAAGTTCTGACTGATTCTAATTATAGTATATAAAAATATAATATTGAGTTTGTCTTGTAAATTGTTGATATAGACTTAGTCTTGCAAGAGAATGAACCTTCTAAACTTACAAGTGAGAGTTCTCCTAAAATAAAAGAATATTATGCAAAGTAGGAGAAATCTAACCAACTAAATATAATTGTTATGAAAATGTTTATTTCTGAACATTTGAAACCAAGAATGTTAAAGAGTTCTTTACCGTTTACAAGAGAGATACAAGGTATCTAACAAGATTAAAATTGGAGGTGTAATGAATGAATTAATGAATATGAAATATGACAATATAGGTGGTATTATGGAATATATCTTTAAAATAGTTCATGTTCAAATCAATTGCAGCTTTTAAAATTGACATTCCTGATGATTTCATTATTCATCACACTCTTAATTCTTGTCTCTTTAGTTTATTCAAATGAAAATTACTTATAATACGCAAAATGAGTTCTGGACAATAAATAATCTTATCTCCAAGTGTCATTCTGTGAAAGAAATATTTAAAAAAGAATAAAACCTAACTTTCTTGTCTATTTTTCAACTTAAATCTAATTTTAAAGATAGGTATCAAGAAAATAATAAAAAATTTAATCATAATACTCTAAAGAGTAGTCACAATTTTAAAAGACATTATACTGATCAGACAGTAAGAGATACTAAGATTATCATTCAAAAAGATTTGAAAGTGTGATAGTAAGACGAAGAAATGTAAACATTATCGGCGGACCAAGAACTATAGAAGAATTGACTTTTCTTGAATAATTCTATTCAATTAGTTTATTATTTGAAATAAAGTAACATTATAATAAACTTGTATGCTTAACTCAATTGTAAACCAAAAATATATGTTGGGTGGACAGCTCAAATTCTTTCATCTCATCAATTTTTATCCGACTCATGCTCTACCAACAACGAAAATGTTCAAAAACACAAATAAAGGAATCTAAATTCAACCAAGCTTAAGATGGTTGTTGTCACATCAGGAAAAAAGATTAAATTTTAATAAAATATGAAAATTTAAACGAGTCAAGCCTAAAATAAGGCTCCGATATTGAACATATATCATTTTAGTTAAGCGTAGGAGTGATAATTTTTGACACAATACGATCATACGATTAGAAATCGACAAGAAATTAGTGAGACAGGGTTGATCATTTTCTCAACACGAAATCGTATATGACACTATCCGTTAACACGAATAATAAATGAATTAGATTAGTAACAAACACTAATAACACAAAATTAACACGTTTGAATAGTATTAAAAAAACATACTAACCAGGACACTCTAATATTGTTAAATAATGCCACTACTCTACATCTATTTCTCTCTTCTCTCTCTCCTATCTTTTTCTTATTTTCTTTTTGTTCACTTTAATTTTAAATTGCATAATTAGCAAAAAAAAAGATTATTATTTAAAATAAAAATATTACATGATTAATACTCAATTTTTGATATTACGAAGTGTTGCCATACACAAGGTTGTTGCTAGTATTTGATACAAGAGGAACTCCATTTAAATTTAGTGAACTAAGATTGATATATTTTCATATGATTTTGAAAATATCTTGATATAACTAATTTAGATAATAAATAGGTTCAATTAGTACCAAATACAAATAAATGAATTTTGACATGTAAAACCTCTTTAATTGATATTGCATAAAAATGTCTATTTTCTTCTAATTTTTGATTAACTGTTGTATAAAAAAAAAATAATCTATCATATAAGGCTACCATATCCATAATTCCATAAATAATACCCAATATAAATTGATTAACTAAGTAAATATAATAAAAATTGATCAATACTTTATATAAATGTGAAATAATGAGGTAATTATATGGTATTGAGAAAAATGTGGTACCATATCGAATGTTAATATTTTTAAAGAAAAAAATTACAATTGAGGTAATTCACGATCTTTCATGAAATGTTCTGATTTATTATAAATTATTTGAATGAGTTAAATAATTTCTTTTTTGTAGGTTATAAATTGATTTTAAAAATTATAATTAAAATTATAAATTTTAATACCATACCGTCTTCGACACCGAAGTGTTGTGCGAAATATAAGTAATGTCATTTAGGCTTAAAAAATTTGATTTAATTTATTAATATAATAATATAAAATTATAAAAATTACTACATCAACATGAAATTTCAATCCGTAATTGCGGCTTTTAAAGTCTTCCGCAGCCGTGCACACTTCCTTAACCATATGCAGAAAACTAGGGACGCAATTGGTCCCATTGCTGTCCTATGTTCTTTGATTTAAGTGGGTCCCATTTTCTTAAAGACCCGCCAATGGCGACCACAGAACCAGATCTTGTGTTCCAGCTCATCTGCAGTGGTCTCATTGCTGTAATATGTTATTGGGTAAATTTTACTAACACCCCTTAGAAAATTTTTAAAATATTATTACACATCTCTATAGTTTATGTATGTATTTTAAAAACTACCCTCACCATCTATTCCGTTCCTCGCGAGGAAAAAAGTTTATGATGTGATGGCTAATTTTCCTATGAGTTATTTACTTTACCTCTAGTGTTATATATACACCAAGATTGAATTAGTACGATGCCATCTTATTGTCTCTTCTATTTAAAATAGGAGGTCTTTTTGAGTGTTAAATTAATAAAATAATTATAATTTTATAAAATTAATTTTTATATTAATTTTTTTTAATTATATTAATTAATAATGATAGTTTGTGAAATAGACACAAACTCTTCCCATAAATAAAATGTTCTGTAATTATTGTTAGGCTAGGTAGAAATAGGGGCAAAATGATAAAAATAAAAAAGGTAAATAGTATGTGGAAGTACTGGTAAGGGTAATAAAAGTAAAATAATGTGTTTTGTTACCACCATTAATCCACAATGAAATTTTAAGAACTAAATGGGGCGTAAATAAAATATGACCAAAATCCAAGGAGTATGGGTGAAATTTGCCTATGTTCTTTGATTAAGTGGGACCCATTTTCAAACAGACCCACCAAAGGCGACCACAAAACTTGATCTTATGTTCCAGCTCATCTGCAGTCAAATGTGTGCAGTCTAATATTGAATTAATGTTGTAGCATTTCATTAATTAATAAAGAAAATTGCTATAAAATCCCTTTCACGGTATTCTCCTCTACCCACAAACTCCAATAGTCCAATGGCTTATTTTCGCCTTCCATTTCTTGCCATTCTCTTCATATTCTTCTTGTTTGCCATAACCGTTCGAGCTCAAGTTTCAGTCAATCAAACCTTCAAATACGTAAATCAAGGCAAATTCGGAGACAGAATAATCGAATACAATGCTAGCTACCGTGTGATCCGAAACAACATTTACACATTCTACACATTTCCCTTCCACCTTTGTTTCTACAACACCACTCCTGATGCTTTTATTCTCGCCATCAGAGCTGGCATTCCCAGAGACAAGAGTCTCATGCGTTGGGTTTGGGATGCCAATCGCAACCACGCCGTAGGTGGAAACGCCACCCTTACCTTAGGCCAGGACGGTAATTTGATTCTGTTTGAAGCCGATGGCCGTGTAGTATGGCAGACTAACACTGCTAACTAGGGTGTCACTGTCATTAGCATGGAACCTAATGGTAACTGTGCGTGCTGGATCTTGCACAATATAAACACGAGAACAGATCTCTCTCTTTGTGAACTCGAGTGAGTCAGTCGAATGGTCAACTCTGCTGCCTGGGACAACCTGTGAGGTCCGGTGATAACCTGGAACGGTAACAAAAGACCCTCGTGGGTTAATGGAACGATCCAGGAAGGCTGAGGAAGGTGCCTGGAACAAAGAAAGACAAGTTAGAAGGGCGCTAGAGTGTTTTTCGGCGTATCCCCTCCGACGATCAAGTCAGTTTTTGAGAGAGAAGAAGAAGAAAACACTGAGTATAATTTGTAGCAAAGGTTTTTCATTTTTTTTCCTACCTTGCCTTTTGCGAGGAGTATTTATATCTCAAATACTCATGATTGATGTCAGTGTGGTCAGTAGGTGATCATTAGATACAGGCAACGTGCGCACTGATTCCTACGAGGAATGTCTTCTCTTTTAATTGCTCGAGATCCCGAGCAACCGAGGCTGTGTCATCGGCATGCCGACTGTTTAATAAGCTCATCTCGGGGAGGATGCAATAAATGTTCAGCCTTAGAGACATTTATTACCTTTCACCTCCGAGCCTTACTGCATTGAATGTAGTCTCATCAAGGGAATGATGTAATTAAATGCTTGCTTTCCCAAGTCGTGTGTCAGCAAGGGCATGCAGTTTTTCTGTCTCTGATATGACACAATATGCCACGCGTCCATTCCCTATTGGCTGTGGCCCCTGCCTTCCTGTGCCTTTTGACATCAATTGTGTAAGACGAGGTCATGATAGCTAACCTAGGCTAGCGATCTGTACATCAGTAGCTCTGCAGGAGAAGAGAATGTCATCCTGGACAATGGTACATATCGGTACCGAGGGGGGATTGGTACATATAGCGACCGATGTACCTATATCAGACCGAGGGATACGTGTCGGTACGTAAACGTACTGGATGCCACTTGATCCCTATGACAAATACCTCGGGGGAGAGGGACTTTGTAAACCGATGGGTACGTGATCTCAGTAACAAGGATTAGTGACACCGAGGACACGTGTCTTCATCTTGGAGTCTTTCGAAAATGTCCCATCAATTGCCCCCAGCCTTCGATCTTTTGACACAGAGGACACGCGTTGTAAGGAGACGAAGGATTTTACAACAACCTCAACTGCTTCATCATTGCCCCTAGCCGTTTTTTCATGCTTAGGACTTCGTGCGCATTAAATACGCCTTTTCGTGCTTCGCGCCCATTGATGGGATAGACACTATATATAAAGGGGCTCCATCTCTTCGTCTCTTATTTCGTCATTCCGAACTTTCTCCAGAGAGCCCTTGCCTGAATTTTCGCCGGAGACCTCTTTCCTTCCGTTGTCAACTGCCCAACCTTTTCACTGAAGTTTTAAGGCCAGTAGACCCATCCTTGCTTCTGAACATTCTGGAAGGAGTCAATTCAAGTTTTTCAGAAAAAACTTCTTTGTACACTCTGGTGAGTCCCAGTATCTTCTCTTTCTTCGCCCTTCTGTCTCTTTTGGTTTTTCGATAACGGGAGGTGTTTTCTGGTTGCCATTCAGTGACCAATCCTCGGGAAGCCTTCCTGGGGATCTTCGTGGAAAAGACCCCCTCTATTTTTTATCACTTTTTGAGTATGCCTCGTCGTCGCCCTGCCCCCGAGAATCCTCAGGCTAGTACTTCGAGGCCAGGGAAGTATAAAGTAAAAGGTGGTGAGCAAATTAATAGATTTAGGGTTAAGTACAGCGTTCCCCCGAATGTAGACATAGAGGATTATAACCCAGCTGTGCACCCTTGTACCCTCGGTACTGAGGATGCAATGCCTTTTTATATCAAAGCCATCATAGAAGGCGGAATTAGGTTCCCTTTGCCCCCTCTGCTTCTCCAGTTCCTCTCTCATTTTCACCTCTTCCCCAGACGGTGTTGCCTTAATGTCTTCAGGATAATTATGGGAGTTCTAGAGATCAATAGGCATCTTGGGGTAAATGTCGGACTGAACGATATCCTTTTTTATTATTCCCTCTTGAGAGTCATGCCTCAACAACATTTCTACCTCAAAGCCAGGGACCCATCTATGTACCTCGTAACTCACTTTCCTGACTCGGACAAGGGGTACAAGGATGACCTACTTATCTTCAAGGGATCTTGGCAGAGAGGTGTCGGTCCCGAGTATAACGGCTTGTTATGCCCTTTGGAATGGAGAACGACAAGTACGTCGGTTCCTTCGGGTTACTTTATTTTTTGAGATTTTCTACGTGCTCATGACCCACTCCCCTCTTTTTGCTTGTGCAGACATCTCCCCCTTGGGAAATAGCTCCTCCATCTCGGTCGTTGGTGAACTTTGCGGACCTAGTCACTGTTTGGAGATTCACTGGTGACAACGGGCTCAGCCGGGCTGCCCACATCCTCCTGAATTACACTCCCGGATATAAAAAATTTTCACAGCTTCCCCAGCCTTTCGAGTCTTCGCGGTGGTTTGAACTCTTCGATCAGGCGGTGGGACAAGAGGTCGAGGAGAACTTGGAAGAAGACCCTGACCGGGCTTCGGAGGTAGAAGTAGAGGGTGAAGTTGAAGAGCTCGGGGTCAGAGAGGACTTGGTTCCTTCGCACTCCGAGGTGGGGACTTCGGGGAGAGATTCGTGGTCGGACTTCCAAATCCTACAATCTCTAGACGCCGAGGACGCCCTCGAGGTAGCTATGTCCAGCACGCCCCACATTGATCTAGGGTTCCTGAAGCAAAGGCAAGCCCTCGCTGCCAGGAGAGGACGAGGATCGATCGGTGAGGCCCCATCTGCAGGGACCAGCGCCACCCCATCCTCAAGAATCATCAGTTGGGGTCAAGTGCGTGACCGGGATCCTCAGGTAGAGGAGGAGATGAGGATCAAACATAGGCACGACGGCCTTGGCAGGGGATTCAGGGCCCTCTACGCTCAGCAGCAAAGTGGGAGAGGTCGTGGGTTACCTCCTACTCCTCAGCAACAACAGCAACAACAACAACAACAACAGCAACAGCGGCAACAACAGACTCCTCTTCCCCTTCCGCAGACAGTGGAAGCTGCTGAGTGAAATTCTCGAGCCACTGATCACATGAACCGAGTGATCAGGGTCGACGACTCCATTTTGCAGGACCCTCATATCGCCAGTGCAGTGAGTGAGACGCTGCATTTCGAGGCCGACATGGTGGCTCATAGGGGGCGATCAACGAACGTGTTGTTTCGTTCTATCATCCAGAATTCTCTGGTAGTAAGTTCACCTTTGCTTCAGTCTCTTTTAGCTGCTTTTCCTTTTAGTGACATGTCCTTTCCTTTGCAGGCCACCCATCAGATTTCCGTAATAGCGGCGCGGTATCATGGGGCTCGGATGGACCTTCAGCGAATTTGAGAGCAGAAGGAAGAAGCCGAGGGAGCCCTTGCCAGTGCTAAGGAGGACGTAGCTACCAGAGATTCCACCCTCGCGGGGCAAGCTGCTCAAATTGAGCAACTCCTCAAGGATGCCGAGTTGGCGAAGGTCGGCACTGAAAAGCTAAGTGCTGCCCTTGCCAAAGCTGAGAGGAGGATAACAGAACAGACGCAGCGGCTCTCTGCGGCAGAGGAGATGGCTGTTGGTTCGGAGGAAAGCTGTCTGGCTCTGACCCAGGAGCTGGACAGGATCAGGGCTGAGGCACAGAACAGGAAGTCCGAGGAGCAACTCCGAGAAGAGTTCGCCGATGACGTGCTCCCCGCTCTTGAGGAAAACAGTAACGAGTTCTTCAAGAAGGGGTGGGACGAGGCGCTCCAGTCTGCTGGAATCTCGTCAGACTCCCCGCTCTTCAAGATGCACAAATACGTGCCCTCGGCGGAGATGGAACAGGCCAAAGCCGAGATTGCTGCTAAGGGCGTGAATCCAACGCCGGTGCAAGTTTTAGTTGATCCGCCCGAGCCGATAATTGTGGATTTGTCTGATGAGGCCCTGTCGGACCGGGCTCCTAACCATAATATTCCTCAGGCTCTCTCTATTGCCGAAGTACCTTCCACTCTGCCTACTCCTGAAGATGCTCAACTTTTCCACGCTGATTCTCCCTCGGGCGAAGTTTTGGAGATGCTCGGGGCCAGATGAAAGCTCTTTTCTTTTCGTTTGTACCCTTTTTTTTTGTAGCTCTTGGGGACGCAAAGTCCCTTTTTTTGAATTAAATCTTTTTTTGGAGTACTTATTCTTTCTTGCGTACACCTTTTTTTTTTTTTTTTTTGCGTAGGAATCCTTGAACTGTCCTCAGGGCCTTGCTCATCCAAGAGGCTTGTTTTTGTATTTTTTTCGGAGGCAAGAGTCCTTGAATTCTGTCCCTAGGGCCTTGCCCTTCCATGAGGCTTGCTCCCGTGTTTGTTTCGGGGGCAGGAGTCCTTGAACTTTATCCCCAGGGCCTTGCCCTTCCAGGAGGCTTGCTCATGTGTTTGTTTCGGGGGCAGGAGTCCTTGAAATCTGTCCCCAGGGCCTTGCCCTTCCAAGAGGCTTGCTCCTGTGTTTGTTTCGGGGACAGGATTCCTTGAACTCTGTCCCCAGGGCCTTGCCTTTCCAGGAGGCTTGCTCCTGTGTTTGTTTCGGGGGAGGAGTCCTTGAACTCTGTCCCCAGGGCCTTGCCCTTCCAGGAGGCTTGCTCCTGTGTTTGTTTCGGGGGTAAGAGTCCTTGAACTCTATCCCCAGGGCCTTGCCCTTTATCTTTGTCGTTGGCGAGCACTGAGAGAGATAATACTCAAAAATAGTATTTCTTTAGATTCATCACATTCCATGGTCGCATTACAAATTTTTTATCCATTTCTTCTAATCTGTATGACCCGGCGCCTCCGATAGATATCACTTTGTAAGGCCCTTCCCAGTTAGTTCCCATTTTTCCTTCTGTTGGGTCACGGGTATTGGCCGTTATCCTTCTGAGGACCAGATCGCCGATTTGGAACTCTCGCGCCTTGACCCTTTTGTTGTACAATTGGAAAATCTTTTCCT